TGGTGTCAAAAGTGTGTATACGGCAAAAAGTGTTTTGGGGGTCAAAAGTGTGTGTACGGCAAAAAGTATTTTTGGGGTCAAAAGTGTGTTTACGGCAAAAAGTGTTTTGGGGTCAAAAGTGTGTGTACGGCAAAAAAAGTGTTTTTGGGGTCAAAAGAGTTTACGACAAAAAGTGTTTTTGCGGTCAAAAGTGTGTGTACGGCAAAAAGTTGTTTTTGGGGTCTAAAGTGTCTATAGGGTCAAAAGTGTATATGGTACCTATAAGATCAAAAGGGTTTGTAAAATCAAAAGTTTTATAGGGTCAAAAATGTCTGTAAGGTAAAAAGTATTTGTGGGGTCAAACATGTTGATGAGGTTAACAGTTTTACTTCACTAAACGAAAATCCTCTTGAAATGAAATACTTTTCTGGCTATGAAATTTTCCTTTTTTTTAGTAAATTGTTGTTGCTGTTGTTGTTGGTCTATCATAAGTTTTAGCATGTTATAAACTACACATGGCGGTCAGTATAAATGGTGGAGGAAGAACCAGAAAAAAAAAAACTTCTGGAAGATTTACATACCCACGAGAATCTACTGGCATTCTTTACACCTATCCACATTGGGGATGTATGTATATATCAACCATGTACAACTCATGTGGTTGGCGTATTGTGAAACAAATCGCATTGGGTTATGCATGTTTTAAAAAAAACCTCTCTCTCTCTCTCTCTCTCTCACACACACACACACACACACACACACACACACACACACACACACACACACACCGAGAGAGAGTAGCAGATTACGGCTAATGTAGACAATACTCCTTAAACCTGGTTGAAGTAACAGCATTCGTAGCTAATTGGCTGTAATAGAATGCCGCTGCTTTAGCAGATCAAAGGAGATTATGTTTATTTGACAATCCGACTAATCAATCAACTTTCCTTTAAATACATCCTTTCACCTCTAAGGCGCAGTAACGTCTTGCACGTGCTGAAACAAGCCTAACCTAAACACTTTCAGGATAAATATTAATAGAAACAAAATTATTAAGTGAATAAAATGTGAAGTAAGCATTAATCAATAAAAAAAATTATAATAAAGACTGCACCTCGTGGTCTTTGAATCTCGGTAAACTGAAAACACATCAGAACCAAAACTTTGCATTGGGATTTCGGCCTTGGGAGATTGCACATATGTATGTATGTATGTATGTATGTATGTATGTATGTATGTATGTATGTATGTATGTATGTATGTATGTATGTATGTATGTATGTATGTATGTATGTATGTATGTATGTATGTATGTATGTATGTATGGTTATGTGTGTGTGCTTGTGTGTACGGCATACACGCTTATTAAAGAAAAAGGAACCGATGCATGTCATCAAAAGAATATTATTTGAATCTGCAAATTCCTTGTGTCCACTTGACCAGACATACTCTTCTTATATCCGTCTTTGTAAAATAATTATGAGCCGACCCTCACGCAGAACGCATGCAGACTGCCAGTAATTCCATAGTGTGGTTGGAACTATGACGTCAAACTTCATCTGTTTCAGTGTGTATTACAGAAGATTGATAAAAGGAATATTTGATGAGGTTTTCGTGATTCTATTTTGGGTTATGATGACGTTATAAATGTTATTAATAGTACAGCAAACAACAAGACCATATTTCTATTCGAATGTTCCAACAAACCTCTTGTTAGATAAAACCAAATATATCTATGAAACAACTGTCTAACTTCATGAACTATGAATCTCTTTTGCCAGGCGCCACTTTATATGCCTTTAATTTTATTTATATCCATACTCATGTCCATAGTTATAAACACACACACACACACACACATACATATATATATATATATATATATATATATATATATATATATATATATATATATATATATATATATATATATATATATATATATAATATATATATATATATATATATATACATACATATATATACATATATATATATATATATTATATATATATATATATATATATATATATATATATATATATATATCGGTCTGTTTGTCTTTCTGTCTATTGATATGCCTTACTGCATGTTGCTAGGTATTATGTTATGGAGTCAGTCTTTTTGCCTTGGGACGGAAAATATATTTGAGATAAAACCACCAAATAGGCCACGCGATTTGGAATCGGGGGGAAGGGAACATTTTGAGTTTAGAGCTTTTCAAAAATAAGAACTAGCCTGTTTGATTATTATTAGCTGATTGATTATATATATATATATATATATATATATATATATATATATATATATATATATATATATATATATATATATATATATATATATATATATATATATATATATATAATATATTTATATATATTAAAAATACAATTATTGTTTATACTTGGTTACTTTGGAAACAATAACAATGAAAAAGAGTCCACATACAAACATTTTGTAGAGCAGACCTAAAGGAATATTCCAGTAAAATTAAATCGAACGTGAACAGCCATCCTGGAGTCAATTTTAAAGTCAATCATCCATCCTGAAGCCAATTTTAAAGTCAATCATCCATGCTGGAGTCCATTTCAAAGTCAAGCATCCATCCTGGAGTCAATTTCAAAGTCTGTATCCATTTTGGAGTCAATTCCAAAGTCAATCATTCATCCTGATGTCAATTTGAAAGTCAATCATCCATGCTGGAGTCAATTTCAAAGTCAAGCATCCATCCTGGAGTCAATTTCAAAGTCTGTATCCATGTTGGAGTCAATTCCAAAGTCAATCATTCATCCTGATGTCAATTTGAAAGTCAATCATCCTTGCTGGAGTCAATTGAAAAGTCAACCATCCAAGCTGGAGTCAATTTCAAAGTCAATCATCCATCCTGGAGTCAATTTCAAAGTCAATCATTCATCCCGTAAAGGATTTCAAACAAAATGTTATAAGAAAAATTTGAATCAAATTTTATAAAATTTATCAGATAAAGCTGAAAGTATGTATATTGCTATGAAAACGACACCAGTGTTAGGATATAAATGTCATCCTGCTTTACATAACGTTAATATTTTGTTTTAACAAATTAACTCGGCGATAACAATTCTGCAGAAGTTGAACATACGTCTTGCATCTGGTTACTATGGAATTAACACCACTGCTACTATGTTTCATTGAATTGAGCATGGTAGTTCTGAAGTGGTCAGAGTATAATTTTGTATACGATAGTTATTAGGAAAAAAAACCATATAAACAGTAATTAAGCCAACCTTACATGATTGTGCATACAACGTTATTAGAGAGACTAACTAGACTGTAATAGATCACCATTACATAGTTTTGCACCGAAAATCCTAAAAAAAATTTACGTATCTAAAATCAAACCACTAACTTGTTTACAAGAAGTGAAGACCAATAAATGATAACGAACCAAAAAAAACATCACAAAGGAACTTCCACAACTTCATATGGCTTTAGAAAAAATGATAATAGTAATAAGCATAGTATAGTATAGTATAGTATAGTATAGTATAGTATAGTATAGTATAGTATAGTATAGTATAGTATAGTATAGTATAGTATAGTATAGTATAGTATAGTATAGTATAGTATGGTATGGTATGGTATGGTATGGTATGGTATGGTATGGTATGGTCGGCGCGGCGCAGCGCAGCGCAGCGCAGCACAGCACAGCACAGCACAGCACAGCACAGCACAGCACAGCACAGCACAGCACAGCACAGCACAGCATAGCATAGCATAGCATAGCATAGCATAGCATAGTATAGTATAGTATAGTATAGTATAGTATAGTATAGTATAGTATAGTATAGTATAGTATAGTATAGTATAGTATAGTATAGTATAGTATAGTATAGTATAGTATAGTATAGCATAGTAGAGTATAGCATTGCATAACATATCACAGCACGGCACAGTATAGTATAGTATAGTATAGTATGGTATAGTATAGTATAGTATAGTATAGTATAGTATAGTATAGTATAGTATAGTATAGTATAGTATAGTATAGTATAGTATAGTATAGTATAGTATAGTATAGTATAGTATAGTATAGTATAGTATAGTATAGTATAGTATAGTATAGTATAGTATAGTATAGTATAGTATAGTATAGTAAAGTATGGTATGGTATGGTATGGTATGGTATGGTATGGTATGGTATGGTATGGCATGGCATGGCATGGCATGGCATGGCATGGCATGGCATGGCATGGCATGGCATGGCACGGTACGGTACGGTACGGCACGGCACGGCACGGCATGGCATGGCATGGCATGGCATAACATATCACAGCACGGCACAGTATAGTATAGTATAGTATAGTATAGTATAGTATAGTATAGTATAGTATAGTATAGTATAGTATAGTATAGTATAGTATAGTATAGTATAGTATAGTATAGTATAGTATAGTATAGTATAATATAGTATAGTATAGTATAGTATAGTATAGTATAGTATAGTATAGTATAGTATAGTATAGTATAGTATAGTATAGTATAGTATAGTATAGTATAGTATAGTATAGTATAGTATAGTATAGTATAGCATAGTATAGCATAGCATAGCTTAGCATAGCATAGCATATCACAGCACAGCACAGCACAGTACAGTACAGTACAGTACAGTACAGTACAGTACAGTACAGTACAGTACAGTACAGTACAGTACAGTACAGTACAGTACAGTACAGTACAGTACAGTATAGTATAGTATAGTATAGTATAGTATAGTATAGTATAGTATAGTATAGTATAGTATAGTATAGTATAGTATAGTATAGTATAGTATAGTATAGTATAGTATAGTATGGTATAATCAGTGCCGTTTTAATGCATAGGCACGCGAGGCACGTGCCAAGGGCCCCGCGGAGGCCCACCCTCCAAAACAATGTAGGTGACGATTGTGTTAGCAGTTCGGCGTTTGTGTCTAGGGCCCCCAAACGTTTTAAAAACAGTTCTGAGTATAGTATAGTAACTATAACTATGGTCTTATAACCGCTTCAGTGGCCTAGTAGTTAGAATGTCCGCCTCGGATGCGGGAGGTCGTGGGTTCGATCCCCGATCGAGTCATACAAAAGACTTACAAAAATGGTAATAGCAGCTGCCTCGCTTGACGCTTAGCACTAAGAGGTTAGTGTTAGTACTGGTCGGCCTGGTGTCAGGAGAAAGTGACTGTGTTGGACATCATGGTACATGTCTATGGCATAATGCCCCATTGCTAGACATCTCTATAAACTGCTACACTGCAGAGAGCGTAGCGATAGGAATGAAAAAAGTGAAAGCTACGTTCATAATCATATCACATCACACGTCACCATGGTCTTATAATTATTTTCAACTTTAGGATGCAACAACCATGTTCAAAAGTGTTATGAACTGTTTGAACGAGAAACTGATCGAACTAAGCTATCCTTAAACACGCACCCGTGCCGCAGTGCAACTAATTTCCATATCGTTACGCAGAGTCCGTTCACTGGCTTCACACAAGGTAAACAAAACAGCGCGCTATACTAGTTTTAACAGTAATAATAAATGTACACTGTGACAACGAGTAACTCACTAAATTCTGTAAAACAAAAACAACGTAATATATATATATATATATATATATATATATATATATATATATATATATATATATATATATATATATATATATATATATATATATATATATATTAGGCTCTGTTATTGTAACATTTATCTTTTTCGTCACCATTAAACGAAATAACAAAACACTGAGATTACCACTAAAAGTGAAGATCACCACGGGGTTAAATGTTATATGCATGTAGCCGTATTGTTTCACAACATGGGCTTTTATCAACTGGTTTCTTTATCAAACATGTATCATATGACCTCAAGGTGTCGTACGTGACCATGTTCAGAACTCTAAACATGTTTTGGCCTACGTCAGTAAAACTTAATAGCTGACCATCACATGTTTTCCCCGTCCCAGAAAATAATTATACGGGGTGCCTATATGTGTAACTTCAGGTCGGATACAGGCCTAATAACTGAGACATCTGACTCTATGAAACTCGCCGAAATGCACTATTCCGTTGTTTTGTCAAATAAAATTTTCACGCCATTAATTTGATACTTCATTTGTTCTCATTTGAAATATAATTTACGAAACTCTGTAAATAATTTCAATTCAAATTATTTAAAGACAGAAATTGCACACAACACTACGGTGGCCTACGTGGTTGGAGCGTCCGACTCGGATGTGGGAGGTCGTGGGTTCGAGCCACAGCCAAGACATACCAAAGACTTATGAAAATGGTCACTTGGCGCTCAGCTTTAAGAGGTTAGTGTTAGGATTGGTCGGCTTGGTGTCAAGATAATGTGACTGAGTGGGACATCGTGGTACATGTCTAAGGGATGCTGTGTCAGTATTATATATATATATATATATATATATATATATATATATATATATATATATATATATATATATATATATATATATATATATATATATATATATCACTATAAACTGCCACACTGCAGACATCATAGCAATAAGACTGAAAACTTGTTAAAGCCAAGTTAAAAATCCAAATCACAAACACACACACACACACACACACACACACACACACACACACACTCACACACATTTTGCTCGACTCGTGTATGGTCAGTCGCCCATTCTATTAAAAGAGCGAACTTGTACTGTATCTAGACGATTTTAATGGATACACTTTGCAACGACTACGGTTTACAATTTCTGGTACGATTTTATTAGGTTTATGATTACCTTTTCCTTTGATCACTAGCAGCACGTTGAAGCGAGCACATTTCTTGTAGGTGCAAATTTACACATAAGGTGTAATGTTACTTTAATTTTAAGACTTTTCACGATGACTTTTGGTCTGTAAATTTTAAAGAACCGTTGCACTTCGTGTCATGACGTCTATTGGGCTATAGATTTGAAGAAATGCCGTAAGTCAGGTCATGGTGACTGTCGGTTTAGATTTAAATTAATTGTGTTATGCAGGGCCGGATTACCAACTAAGCACACAAACACGTGTTATGGTACCAAACAAACACAAGAAAAAATTTAAATTAATTTTAGATGATACAATTTGAATTAATTATATAAGACTATTTCGAGCTGCATATATGAGTAATTTGATTTGGAATGGTGGCAACGCTGGTATTTTCCAACCTTTTTAGCTTTTAATATTGATTTTTTTAGTGTCATATTTTTAAGAAAGGGGGAGGGCACCATAATATTTACAGTGGGTAAGGCCCTGAAAAGCCTTAATCCGGCATTGGTTGTAAGCCATGTCATGATGACTGTGTGGCTATAAATTTTCAAGAACCACTGTAAGCCAAGTCATGATGACTCTGGGGTTATAGATTTTACAAATCTACTCTAAGCCACGTCACTATGACTAAAGAGTTATAAATTTTAATGAAATATTGCAAGCCAGGTCATGATGATTGTAGCGATACAAATTTTAATGAAATGTTGCAAGCCAGGTTGTGATGACTGTGGGGTTATAAATTTTAATGAAATATTGCAAGCCAGGTTATGATTATTATAACGATATAAATTTTAATGAAATGTTGCAAGCCAGGTCATGATGACTGTGGGGTTATAAATTTTAATGAAATATTGCAAGCCAGGTCATGATGATTGTGGCGATATAAATTTTAATGAAATTTTTTTTTTTTACAAATATAGAAGCTCCTAAAAACGTTCAAATTTGGTTAAGTTTGGTTTTGTGCTTTACGATACAGCCAGCACAAGTAAGTTATTTAAAGCCGATGCAACTGGAATCAGATGTCTTGCCCAAGGACACAACATAATATCTAACCCAGGCTGCTCTGATGGTAGGTTTTAACCACCACCACTGCACACAAACCACTGATCCAAACAGTAAAGTTGTATAGGTTTCAATAACTAGTTTTATCGCGGATTGGTAACCTCCTTCTTTAAATTTGTGGTGTCAGTCTTTTCGCTACAATGCCTGCGGTGTGGCAATTATAGTGATGTTTTGCACTGGGGCATCATGCCGCAACATGTAGCATGATGTCCCAGCCAGTCATATTCCAGCCAGTCGCATTATTCTAACGAGGGAGCTGTATGCACCATTTTCATAAGTCTTTGGTATGACTCGAGTGGGGTTCGAACCAGCAACCTCCCGCATCCAAGGCGGATGCTCTAACCACTAGGCCACCGGAGCGGTCAACCCCTCTCATGTACTATTGGATATAACCCCAATCTCTGTAATGCTATGTGCGATAGACTGTCGAACACTATCCTCCTATTCATTTATAACATCGAACACCAATCTGTCAATCTATGTGTGATAGACTGTCGAACACTAATCTCTCATTTATTTATAACATCGAACACCAATCTGTCAATCTATGTGCGATCGACTGTCGAACACTATCCTCTCATTTATTTATAACATCGAACACCAATCTGTCATGCTATGTGCGATAGACTGTCGAACACTAATATCTCATTCATTAAAATCTAAATCACACACACACACACACACACACACACACACACACACACACACACATTACATCCAAATTGACTGAAAAATTGTTAAAGCTACGTTAAAAATCATAATCACGACTCAGCGACACAGTCAACGAACCAATCTACGATCCAGTCAACAACACAGTCAACGACCCAGAGGACGATCTAGTAGGTGACCCAAAAGGACGACATAGTCAGCGACCCAATCGCCGACTCAGTTACTCAGTCGACGACCCTGTCGATGACCACACACGACCCAGTCAACGACTCAGGGACCCAGAAGGACGATCTAGTCGACGACTCAGCGACGTAGTCCGTGACCGACTCAGTCGATGGCCCAGTCAGCGACCCAATGCGTGACAAGAAGCTAGGAATAAGACGGCATCCCGAATTCAATTTCATAGAAGGGCAGACCATAATAGGAGAAATAAGGATAGAATGTACCATAAGACAATCAGTGAAAATCGGGTCACTGCGTCAAAATTTTTGTATGGCTGAGTTAGTCTTCACTGTTATTCATTCACGTACCAGCTTTGTGCGTGATATGAATAACACAGAGAAGACTGAACGAATCATATTTTCAACCAAAAAAAATACAAAAAAACAACAAACAATTAGATGAAATAATTAATAAACGTTTAAAACACTGTTCATGGCCTGAACAATAAAGAAGAGAAAGAATTATCTGGAAACACCATAAACATGATTTAAAACAAGGAACGAAAACAACGTTTTTCTGTGAAAGAATAGAGGCAGCAATAAATACGAAACAAAATATCGACAATTTTAAAGCAACCTTCGCAATACGTATTATTGGGGGTGGGGACAGACCGGGAGGATGCTTAAGGCGCCAGAGGTCCTGGGGCGTCAAAATCACGGATACCAGAGGCCTTCTGGCACCAAGATCCTTTTGGGCCCCTGGCGCCATTTACCTTTAGTGCGACACTCAAGGTCAGTACACATTTATAGTAAATCTATATTTAAAGTATCGTACAAAATAAAAGAATGAAATTGACAAGTGCATCAATACAACGGATGTAGATGAATTGAATTTATACATTCAGTTCGGCCAATCCTTAAGAAAGAAATCTTTCCAAACATGACATCTTAATCAGCTTCGCACAATTACTTTACTTTGCATCGCTCAAGAGGCCTCAGTGGTAAGGGTGTCGTCCTCGTATGCATGAGGTCGCGGGTTTGATCCCCAGCCTAGTCATACCGTAGACTAATGAAAATGGTTCTATTAGCTTTTTATCATTGAGAGGTTAGTGTTAGTGTCAGTATAACGTGACTGAGTGGGACATGATGCTACACGTCTGTGGCATGATGCCCCAGTGCTAGACATCACTATAAACTGCCACACTGTAAACATTGTAGCGATATGAATTGAAAATTGTTAAAGCTACGTTAAAACTCCAACACACACACACGCACACACACAATTACTTTGCTTTTTCAGGCTGGTAATCATGTAGCAATTACCTATTCTTAGAAAAGATATAATGTTGTCGAAAACAACTACAACTGAAACCTTCCGAATGTCGTCATCCGCAGCAAGAATTTAATACTAGACGATAAATAATGAGCATACAAATGAGATCCACTTGTCAATCAATGGACCAGATGACGTCAAACGTTGGGAATCGTATTTATCTTGAAATAGATAATACACGGGAGACTTTGCCTTCCCAATCTCTAATTACTTTAGCAAGCCGAAGTGGCTGCTGAAAATAAATATTGTATGATTAGAGGCCGATGCCTTATCCTTTCCTTTGTAAAGTAATAAGTCTAACTTAAGGATAATACATTAAAATTTCATATTAATTATTGTGTTAATTTCAGGCGATAAGTGAAGTGTGACATAATTTTGCGGCGACACATAGACACGTCACTAAACTTTATGTTGTATTCTGACACCTTGCCTTTGGGATATAATTAATTTCAGCCTCTTTATTCGATTGAAGGTAATGACATTTGTTTGTTTAGGGTTCTTTTGGTGTGTGTGTGTGTGTGTGTGTGTGTGTGTGTGTGTGTGTGTGTCTGTGTGTGTTGATGGTAAAAAGGCTATGTTCACATTTGTTTCACATATTTGATAGGCTTTATAATAAACACCTACCCCATTCTCCCCTAAACCCTCCCCCCTCTTGTCAAGCAATCGCAGTTGTCCCGGCTAATAACATCAACAACTGTAAAGAGTGAGATATGCAATACTTATGCCGATTTTCCACTCAATAAACAAACTTCAAAATTAAGAGTCCACGAAGAACCCACTTTCAGTTGCCAAGTATATGACGTAAAGCAAGATGGCTGCACACTATGAAGCACTAAATCAGTACGTTGAAAGTATATTCGATAATTTTAGCCAAAGATGCATAACTTGATTTTAAAAAAAAAATAAAATCTATAAAAGTTGCTAAATCAATAAGAGGCCTTCTATAGAAATATCAGTAAAATTTAAGGACAACAACACGCCTCCGGTGGTAATTATAACGTTTATATGAATAAATGTGTTGCACTTAAAGAAATCGTTCGAATTTCTTTCAACAAAACATATTTCAAAGCAGTCGCAACGCTTAGGTACAAAACTGGATTGTCACATAGAGAAGAATCAAGTCATCAAAATACATTCTTATTTGACTTTAAATCCCATGATGGTAAATACGATTGAAAAACTACTAATTTTATTATTAATTCATTTATTGTTTATATCTCTGTTAAAAGATGTTTTAGATAAAATGAGAATGTTCAGATCAAGCAAAATCGTGGAAAGAACTATCATTAATTTTAGAAGACTCAAAATTTAAACATTGTTATAAGCATAACGTTTCGTTCGTGCTTTTTTATAAAAAAAACAACAAACAAACAACAAAAAAACAACAATAGTAAATTAAAAAATAAAATAATATAGGGAAACTCCACCAGTCCAAAGCTTTCACTGTGGATATTTCTAATCAACATTAAAATAATAGTATTCAGACAAAATATTGGCATTCGGATTCTCTCAGTTTTTTCCCACGAGTGGGCATACGGACACATGTTTCTCATAATATACAATGCTTTTCTATCCTATCTATATTAGTTAGTATATTTATATATCCCTGTGTTACAGACAATTAATATAGTAAAGTCCATGGTTGATTGCGATAATTTTATACCACTATGTTAAAGATAATTAATATTGTACTAGCTTGGGTAAACCTCAGTGTTATGGACATATACTATTATACAGCTGGGGTTAATTACAATAATTATATACCACCATATTACAGAGAATTAATATTGTATCCTCTCGGATTAATTACAATAATTATATACCACGATATTACAGAGAATTAATATTGTATCCTCTCGGATTAATTACAATAATTATATACCACGACATTACATGGAAGTAATATTGTATCCTCTCGGATTAATTACAATTAATTATATACCACGACATTACAGAGATGTAATATTGTATCATCTCGGATTGATTACAATAATTATATACCACGATATTACAGAGAATTAATATTGTATCCTCTCGGATTAATTACAATAATTATATACCACGATATTACAGAGAATTAATATTGTATCCTCTCGGATTAATTACAATAATTATATACCACGATATTACAGAGAATTAATATTGTATCCTCTCGGATTAATTACAATAATTATATACCACGGCTTTAGAGAAAATTAATTTTGTATCCTCTCGGTTTAATTGCTATAATTATATACCACGGCGTTACCGACAATTAATTGTGTATCCTCTCGGTTTAATTACAATAATTATATACCACGGCGTTACAGACAATAAATTTTGTATCCTCTAGGTTTAATTATTATAATTATATCCTACGGCGTTACAGACAATATTTCATCGGCAAGTTTCTCAGTAGTAATGATCTGTGTCTGATAAGGTCCATATGTTGGGCAGAAACATATACCCATCATGCTTTTATATGTTTTGTCTGTTTCCTGATTTGTTTCAGGTACCATATATTTTATCCTTGATACATAACCCTCCTTTTTGATTTATTTATTTCTCGCTTAACCTAGAGTTCATAGATTCAGCATCACCTTAGATGTAAAGTTACTTAGTGAAAAATATTATTTTACTGAGAGAAACAAAGAAACCGCATAGTGAAATATTTTGCTACAGTATTATATACGTAAATGATCAGCACCTGGATAAAATAAATTTTCCACTACTACATTATAATAAAGGAGATTAGAGGTGACGTTCTGAAATTTCTTTAGTATTTATGTACTAATATTACATGGAGTTACTAATCAACACTCCGCGCGTGCATATGCATCTCTATTCTTAGCAACTTGTCCTAACTAACATCACGATCTGGTCTGCCTTTTCGTGATGCTTTACCACATCAATTATTGGTTTGAAAATTTTGTGGACCATGGATGTGATCACGGAACATATTTGTTCTTGCCACAGAGGATAAATATTGGTTCGAGATAAAGAAAGACGGTAGACACCTAGTGTGAAGTGGGCTGGGTGAGTGAGCGGATAGGGGTACGGTTGTTTGGTAAATTTTGGGCTGGAAATCTACGTTTGGTCAGAGAGCCAAACTACACTCCGTTTAATATAGTACATGTCCCACTTCCGAAATACTCGATACATGTATATGTTCCACTAAACCGAGGTAAACGAGTGACAATTAATCGTGGAAGGAATTAAAAC